AATATTAGAAATTTTCATGCAATCGCTTGTGAAGTGAACACTAAACCCTTTGCCATCGAGTCGATTCCGACTCACAGCAACCCTATAGGACAGAGTAGAACTGTCCCACGGTGTTTCTAAGGCTGGTGGATTCAAACTGCCAACGTTTTGGTTAGCAGGAAATTTGTTAACCACTGTGCCACCAGGGCTCCTAAGTAAACACAATATGGCGAAATATGTATCTGTCATATGCCTACACCAATATCCCCAAGTATACAACTCAAGCCTGACTCAGTCATGTTTTTGAACTCAGCAGAAGAGTCACAGAAAATGTGAACAAATCAACATTACTTCTGTGGCTTTGATTAAAATTACAGGCACAAGCGTTTTCATTTCAATACTAAAAAAAATTCTGAATGCTTACGCAACATCAGTTTCAAATACCCTTTTATAGGAAATCCTCATTAATGATAACCTACATCACTGCAAAAGCTGCTCTAACACTTAATAGCTAGGTGTTATTTCTAAGTAACATAGGACGTTATTACATTATTCCAGTCATTATAAAGTGAGGTTGAAGTGCCAACTGAAGCCTCGCCTTTGACCATTTAACACACTTCAATTATCTCTGGCACCTCAGTAGATTCAGCACTCCTTCTTCCTGCCACTGTCAGATAACTCCCCTCACTGCACCAATTACAAGGGATTCTTTTACCTATAAGGAACTCTGGTGGTGCAGTGGTTAAAGCGCTCAGCTGCCAACCAAAAGGTTGGCAGTTCGAGCTAACTAGCCACTCCAGAGGAGAAAGATGTGGCAGTCTGCTTCTGTAAAGATGACAGCCTTGGAAACCCTATGGTGCAGCTCTACTCTGTCCTGTATGAGTCACTCCAGCTGGAATCTACTGTCAGCAGTGGGTTTTGCTTCTGCCTATTACCACGCCTATCTAGGCTGGCCATCGGCAGTTTTTCTCCTGCCAAACTGGTCATGCTAGGTTTACCTGTGGGTAATCTATTACATATTTCCAAGCCTGCACTGGACCAGGTTACAGCCGTGGGCTTTCAAGCACAATCCTATGGCAGCATTTAGCATTGGATTTAAACATCATTGCAACTTTCCCATAAAAAGTGCTGGCCAAATTTAATTAAATTTAAGATAATCTTGGGTCTGACATACCCATAAAGATCAATATTTAAGTTGCAAAAGTTAACTTAGGTTTCATAAGTCAGGCGAGTTTAGATTTCTTGATGAATAAGATCAGGTTGCCCATGTGAATGATCCAAAATGTCACTGCTGATGGCTTTTTCACTTAGGCGCCTATGCATGTGTTGGCAGCTTATAAAAGGGATGTGGCCTCAATACTTTCTTTTTATTTTAGTAACATATACATGCTTGCTCACACAGGGACTTGTTCAGCTTTCCATTGTCTGAATCACAGTGATAACGCTAAGGCTACAGTCATCTTAATGTTATCGACAGAAATTCTTTTCTGCCAATTTATTTAACTTCATTCTTTAAATTGGCATCAAGACAAATCTTGGATTCAAACTTGTCACTTAGAGTATGGGTTAGCTATTATTGTTTAATCTGTAACATCATAAAATACCTGAGTATTACTTTAGGCAGAATAAGTTTTAAAAACTACTTTTTTGAAAGAGGCATTAGAAAAAAATTTTAACACAGAATTCAGAGCAAATAAACAAGCTATGAAACTATCATGTGATAGTCTAGTTTTCTTGTAGATTAGGTAGAAAATCCATAATGATATTAGAAGTCTGACTTTTGAAATGTCAATAATAGCTGTTATAAAAATTTTAATTTCTAAAACCAAACTATACCCAGTTAAAGATACTGCAAGTATTTCTTGGACTAAAATGGCGGGTACCATGAAATTAACCAGGCCAAAATCCACCATCAGTCTCAGTCATACCTGTCTTGGAAGAGGAGAGCAAAAGACCGGGCTTCCCAAGCAGTCCCAAACCAAGGCAACACAGCAGGCCTGCCAAGGTCAAAGCAGCTTGTCCACCCCAGCCCCACACAACCGCACTCAGTTCCTACAAGACACGGCCACAAAGGCAAATCGCGAACTCTGTCCAAACGGTCTCTAAAGCAGGGCTCTCTCCCAGGTGGTTTTCAAAGTTTAAGGAAAAAACCAGGTTTCTCATTCCAGATTCACAATAAGTTTTTCAAAGTTCACTATGACTAGCATCAAAACACCCATATTCTTTATTGAAAATTTTCAGAAAAAGTGATAGGAAATGTCAAAATACCTTCAGTTTTGACAATTTACTCATCAGTGAACCTGTGAATCATGTTTCAAAAACCAATCATTAGGAGATACTACTTTCCCAAAACACGGAGGGAAAATCCATTAGATTCCAAGCATGTGGGCATGACAAATTGACACAGGTGGTTCTCTGCACTGCCTAGAAGGCCAACATACAAAACAACACGTTCTGTACTCTGAAACTAAACTTTGCCTTGTAAGATAGAGAAAAAATGAACCAAGTTGAAGGTATCTCATGAACAGTATCTTGTTATCATGAATTCTTGTGTAAAGTACTGTTTTATTTAAATCCAGAGGAATTATAATGGAGATCTTTGAATCGCAAGGTTCCAGGCAGCTTTTCCTAAGAGAACAACAGCATGCTCCCATGACAAGAGAGTCCTAGCACACACACTGGTCAATAATAAAGCACGTACTGAAAAGTTCTCAAAGCTTAGAAGAAGAGGGCTTACATTTTCAGGCAATTACTGATTGCTCATTAAACAAATGAATGAAACAAAGAACAAAGTCTGGAAGCTAACATGACCAAGGTAGAAGATCCAATCAAGGCTTCAGAGATCTATCCAAATTAAATCAAATCCTTCCATCTCTAAAAACACCTGACTATCCATTATACAAAGGGGGACCTGTAAAGTTTGTATCTCTAATTTCCAGAGGGATAAAGGAGTTAAGCTGGATCTACAATGAAAGCAGTTGCAGATCAAATCTAAACAGTTTCAGAAAACTTATACGCTGACCAAACGCTCTTCTAAAATCTGTTAGAACAGGATTTCAAATGAGCTAGATTTTTTCTCCCAATGCTTAAAGCAATCAGTTCACATACACATACTGTCCCTGCAGTAGTGACAATACATACAATTAATTGCATGGTATAACCATATTCACTCACCCTCCTAACAGTATCTGTGGCTGGTTGGATTCATTTGTGATACCAAATATATCAGGAATTAAATCACCATTGAAGCTGAAAAGAAAACATTAAAAACATTAAGCACTTATTTTATTAAATTCTACTCTTCTCACTTAGCTAAAAAGAAAAACTTCTGGGAGGTAGGAGCCATTACATTACAGTATCTAGCTGTAGTCAATGAAATGTGAGCAGAAGCGGCATGTGTCACTTGCAGGCCAGAGCATTTAACTTCCATCACTGGACCTTCCAGCCCGCCAGAAGCCTGCCTGCTGCCGCAGTGAGAAGAGCATGTGTCTCAGATGGTTCAGCTACAAAGATGGCAAAGCCTCTGAAAGCCGGACACTGAGTGACGGCATAGAGCAGAGCCGAGCATTGAAACTCACTGGACGTACTGTGAGCAAAACACACACTTTCACTGTGAGATTGTGGGGTTGTTTGCAACCTCTGCATGATCTATACCCCTGAGTGATAAGAAGACAGCACTAATTCCTAGAAACTTATTTTAGAATCCTGACCCAATGCGTTTAGTTAGATGGGCTTAAGAGAACTAACACACAAAAGTAATCTCTAGCTGGTATAAAAATTCATACTGGCCATTGAACACTGTAACAACAGAGAAAAAGTATAAAATTATGAAAGAAGTCCAGCTGAATGCCCTTAAGATTAATCCATGGGTTTACAGTTCAGACTTATAAAGGCTACTGGCCTGTTGATGTACGACTATGATTTTAATAACTGTAAGAAAGGCAGGACTGGAGGTGGGAATGTGGCTATACATTGCTACAGTCTCAAGAATGATCTCTATCTCAACACCAAAAACATCCTGCTAGAAATGTGGATTACACTGATCATGGTACATGAGTCTATTATAAGGAAACAAATGATAATGCTAAAGGAGACTTGTAAAAACGGCAAATCTCTCCTTAATGTAGAAATCTTCCTAAATTTCTGGAGGAACCACGTGTCTTTCATATGTCAATTAAGCACTAATCGTTTCTGCTAAAAACAGTTATCTTAATGTTCTGAGTAATGGCATGGCAAGAATCAACATAAATCCATAAAGAACTCATTCAAAGTTATTAAAACAAAACCACAAACATCTACTTTTTCCCAAAATACTGAATTTTAGTTTCTCTGCCCTCCATCACAACAAATAAATATCATATAACCAGAGTACAGTCCCCTATCAGCTCTAGTTGTGATGTGCCGTCTAGTCAGTTCCGTCTCACAGCAACCCCACATACAACAGAAGGAAACACTGCCCGGTCCTGCACCATCCTCACAATCGTCACTGTGCTTGAGCTCACTGGTGCAGCCAACCAGGGAGAGTAAATTCTGGGTCAATACTAATTTGCAAAGTAACTTCCTGTGCAAAAGACTTTATGTTTGTAAGTTTAATATCATTCAAAGGAAGCAAGCACATACTTACTCCATAATTAGCGGTTCATCTTGAAAGGTCCTATTGAGTATGGTCATATTGTTAGAATCTGTAAAGAAAGAAAAAATATAAATCAGACAAGGCATTTTATATTATTTCTGGTATCTACACTTAGAGAATATTCTTTTATGCTTTTAAAGGTTTATCTCTAATTTATTCCAACCTTTACCACTAAGATGACACCATAAATCTAACTTAAGTGGAAATCAAGTTTCTACAGAAAATATTGGGAGAGTTCATTCTATAGTGAAGATCAAGTATTACAACAGCTTCCTCTTGAGGCTTCAATCTGAAATCCCTCAGGTAAGCCTGATCTCTATACAATTCACATTAGAGCAAGTGACAATTCACAAGCCAACATATGCAAAACCACCTGATTTTTGAAACATCCATGCTTACACAGAAGCAGTGCTGTGTACACGGTCGTCTTTTTAAATACTATTTACTGAATTAACACAGAGTTTGATATTAATGCTTTATATTCCCAAATGTTAACAAAAATGCAACTGTATTTTACTTCCTTGAAATATAGCTCCCTGTAAAAGCTGTCTACATAGGCATAATTAATTGGCCCTTCTGATAAAACGTGAAGGTCTGTGGGTGGATATGGCAGACTGGCTCTCAATCTCCATTCTAACTTTTTTTGTGTGCTCTTGTACTGGGGAGACTAGAAACTGAAAATAGCATTTCCCAGATATGCATACGCTTGAGATTCTGAATAAAATTTCAGTCTTGCCAATTAGATACACTGTGAGCTGTGGATGGCAGAAGTGAGGAGGAGGCTTTGCTTCTGCTATTTCTTAGTGTCTGATCACTAATATGCGAGTGTCAGGAGAGACAGTGCAGGGCTCCCGTGTTGTCTGAGTGAGAGTAACAGCAGGCACGCTGTCACGCTCAGAGTTGTTGTGTAGCTGGCTACTGTCTCATAATAAAAGAGGTGACAGGTAGCTTCCTGATGGCTTTCGGGATAGTTACTGAAAGCTCAGCCTAGGATCTGTCCTGATAATTCTGTAAGCCGTTAAAAGCCTTCAATAAATCTTTCTTTCTTAAGCCACCGAGAGTGAATTTTGTTCTCTGTAACTACTCCAGACCAGTACTGGGTGGAATAGGAAAATCAGAAAATAAAATTTTAAAAAGTTTATATAGATAATTACTGACACTCGAGAACTGCATTTTTGAACTGATTTCAGAATGGTGTTCTTGGTATATTTACCTAAGAATAGTGGGCATATTTTTCCTTCAATAACAAATGATGAATATTAAAAACTCTTACAACAAATTTACCTAATGTTTGATTTTGTCCCCAGAGGATAACAGCTCCCAAATCACTGTTGGCATGGTTTTTGGGAAAATATGTCAGAAGGACATCCATTTGTGAATCTCCATTGTAATCCCCAGGGACTACACTGGTTATCAATGCACTGTGATTCCTAAAAGAAACGAGCATTGAAAAATATCCAGTCAAATTATAATTTAAAAAAGACACCTCTACATTTCTACTGTACAAGAGTATGTTTAACATAAAATTTTAAATTTCACAGAATTAATTTCATTCTTCTCTTTAGTATCTTATCCCCTATGTACGTAGACCTCTTTAACAGAGTAAAGAGCTCAGGTTTAATGCAGAGCAGTCTTACTAAACAAGATAAATCTGAAAAATATTAAGAAAAAGCTCAGTTTCATGTTCCAGCATTGACTCATAAAGTTCTTTTAGTTAATTCTTTTTTCAAGGCATTTGACGTCTGAACGGTGTTTATAATAAATGAAGGTTTATCATCAATTGATAAAGCAGGAAAGAATATCACTATGATTTTGTTAAAACATTATTTACAAAATATTTAATTTGGGATTTTAATTGTAGATTCTATATTTACAGTGAAAATTAAATAATTTTACTTCTGAAAGCTAGTCAAGAAATAAATTTTTTTCACCAAACCTGGTAATATACTATCTAAACATACTTATCTAATTTTATATTTTTAACCATAAAATACTCCAAAATTATTTCTATTAAACTTGAAAACTTAAAACATCCGAGAGTCATCATAAAGTTGTCTGAGCAACTCAACCAAAAAATAGGTCTTAAATTCAATTTATACTGAAGTCTACTTAGAGCAAATAGAAAGACAGCAAGTTTCCAATTAGACTATGGATCATTATTTCCTAAATAGCATCAAGAAGGTATATAGAGATTTTATTTAAAGTGAAAGTGACGAAAACTTTGTTAAGAAAAATAGTGCAATAATAGCCTTATTATGATACTTCTACTTACTATCCCAGGTATTATATTAAGTGTTAATGTCTCATTTAATCTTCACCACCTGAAACAGGTATTGTTACCTTTGTTTAGCAGACTAGGAAACTGAGGTTCAGGGTGATTAAGTAGTTTCCAGGGTTAAACAGCTAGTTAAATGGAATACCTGGAATTCAAATACAGTTGTGTGGGCCTCTAAAATTGACTGTCATTACAATAATTAAATATTTTTGGTAATGACAATGACAGTTTCTCCAAAGAATTCCAAAAATACTTAACCCTTTCGATGGAAAATACCGTCTTTAAAAATGATGAGCTATAGTAACCACACATGCTAACGAGCTGCCTTCCAGTTGATTCCAACTTATGGCACCCCCACGTGTGTCAGAGTAGAGCTGTGCTCCATAGGTTTTCAAGTGCTGATCTTTCGGAAGTAGACCGCCAGGCCTTTCTCTTCCAAGGTGCCTCTGGGAGGACTCGAACCTCCACCCTTTCAGTTAGCAGCTGAAGTTCCCAGAAAAAAAGGCTCAAGGAGGAAGGCTTTTTGCCCTGAAGAACTCCTGAGAGGCCTAGAATTTAGAGTCATCAGAAATAGTGGAAGACAAGAATGAGGCACAGAGCTGAAAACAGGTTGATTTCAGTCTATATTCTGAGTAGTGGTCCCTTCTTCTTCTGGCTCAGCTAGGCAAGAGCTAAGAAGTTTATTCTCTGGAAAGTCTCAAGCACTGGGGATTTAAGTGACAGCAGAAGGTAAGGGTGAGACCTTAAATAAAAGATAAGAAGTTAAGGAAAAGTCTACAAAGAATATTTTGACTTCTGTACCCAGCTCCACCCTATTCCTGGAGCCCTGGCGGCACAGTGGTTAAGAAACTGGCTGTGAACCAAAAGGTCGGCACTTTGAATCCACCGGCCGCCCCTTGACAACCCCACGGGGCAGTTCTACTCTGTCCTACAGGGTCACTGTGAGGGGGAGTTGACTCCATGGCAGCAGGGTTTTTTTTGCCATCCTATTCCTAGAATGCCAGCCAGTCAGGAATATACCCACAGGGCGAGAAAGAGTAGACAAGAAGGAGCTTCCAATGAGCTCTGTAGTGCCATACTCTTAAATATGAATAGACACCTGCCTTTTGAAGAAAATGATGAATATTAAAGACAGCCAAAACAAATAGCCAGCAGGAACTTGAAGAAAAGAGAGATAATGGAGGGAACAAAAGAAAACTTCAAAACTATACTCGGAGAGATAAACCAAACCCACTGATGCAGAGTCAATTCAAACTCACAGCAACACTACAGGACAGAGTAAAACTGCCCCATAAGGGTTCCAAGGCTGTAAATCTTTAAGGAAGCCAACGATCACATCTTTCTCCCATGGAGTGGCTGGTGGGTTCAAATCCCCAACCTTCTGGTTAGCAGCCTAGTGTTTTAACCACTGCAACATCAGGGCATAAGATAAAAACACATGTCCATTATGAAAGAACAGTGTACTAGAAGGAAAGAACAATAAGAGGGAAAAGAAAATCTCTTGGAAATTAGAAATACGACAGCTAAAATAAAAAATTCAGCAGAAGGCTTGGAAGATAAAGTTGAGAGAAAACCTCCTGAAAAGAAAAATAAAACAAAATAACAAAAAACAGATAAGATAAAGGAATAAAGGATGAAACCAGGCAGTCCAATAACCAGCTGATGGGAATTCTTGATGTCATGGATTGAATTGTGTCCCCCAAAATATATGTCAACTCGGTTAGGCCATGATTTCCAGTACTGTGTGGTTGTCCTCCATTTTGTGATCTTGCTATGTGCTATAAATCATAATCTCTGCTTCTGGTTAAAGAGGATTAGCCTGGCATGTTAACACCCTTGTTCAGGTCACATCCCTCATCCAATGTAAAGGGAGTTTCCCTGGGGTGTGGCCTGAGTCACCTTTTATCTTACAAGAGATAAAAGAAGGGAAGCAAGCAGAGAGTGGGGAACCTCATACCACCAAGAAAGCAGCGCCAGAAGCAGAGCGCGTCCTTTGGACTCGAGGTTCCTGTATGGAGAAGCTCCTAGTCCAGGGGAAGACTGATGAGAAGGACCTTCCTCCACAACCAACAGAGAGAGAAAGCCTTCCCCTGGAGCTGACACCCTGAATTTGGACTTCTAGCCTACTAGACTGTGAGAAAATAAATTTCTCTTTGTTAAAGCCATTCACTTGTGGTATTTCTGTTACAGCGGCAACTACATAACTAAGACATCTGAGAAACAAACAAAAGAATTGTCAAAGAAATAATGTAAGAACACTTCGCAGAGCCCCAACAATGGAAGCCTCCAGTTTAGGAGAAAAAAAAACAGTTGCCATCGAGTCAATTCTGACTCATAGCAACCCATAAGACAGAGTAGACCTGCCCCGCAGAGTTTCCAAGGAGTGCCTGGTGGATTCGACCTTTTGGTCAGCAGCCGTAGCTTTTAATCACTACGCCACCAGGGTTTCCTCCAGTTTGAAAGGGCCTAACAAATGCTCAGAATAATGAATGAAATGTAATCTACACCAAGGCTTATCATGAAATTTCAGAGCAAAAGGGATAAAGAGGAGACTAATAGCCCTCAAAATTAAAAATAAAACAAGTCATATTTGAAGAAATGGCATTGGATTTTTCAACAACAGTGCAGGAAGCTAGAAGACCATCAGGCAATCAAACTGTTAAGAGTGAGTGAGTATAAAACGCTTTTGGACGCGCGAGGACCTACTATGCATGCTTTCTTAGGAATTTCCTGAAGGATGCACTCCAGTGAAATAAAGGAAGAAACAAAGAAAGAAGGCGGTACAGGATCCAAAAAATAGGGGATCAAGCAAAGAAAAGCAAAGGGAAAGCACTCAGTGCAGAGGATTCACTGGGGAAAACAAGAATGTATGATAGGTATACGACAGCTATGAAGGAACAGCTGCAAAGACATTAAGGACATGTACACAGAAAGCTATGGAACTTATTTTTAAAAAAGCAACCATTTACTCCGGGTGGGGGGAAACTGTACAAGAAGTGAACTATTGTACACTACTTAGTTCTGAAGTACACAGACTCTACATGGTCAAAATGTAAACAGCGATTACTGACTTAACAGGAATTACAATGTAACTATATTGAGATGACAGATATAATTTAAAAAGGCTAAATCCTTACCTATCCTAATAAAAAAATCAAGAGATGGAGATTAAAAATGATAAATCAAGAAATCACAGTGTAAACATTTATTTTAAAATACTGAAATAAACACCAGAATAAACAGCCATAAATTTTAAAAGTAGTTGTATGTGAGAGAAGCAGGGACAGGGTGATGGAAAGTTATTTTTACTTTGAAAAATATTTTAAGTTAAATAAAATAAAAACTAGGGTGTATACATTTTAAATATATATAAAATAATTACTATTGCATTAATCAAAGAAAAAGTTTTTTTTTTTTTAGGTTGGCAGAACCCAAGCCCTTAAATATCCCATACATTTCCTTCTAATCTTCCAAGCAAAATCCATTCTAGACAGTGAGATGATCATTTCTTGCAGATAACATTTATCAGCTTACGTTCCCTCCCTACTCCATGTAGGCTGACAGCCAGCACCCACCAACATTTCTCAAGGGAGATAAATTCCTGTTTATTCATTGATAACACTTCCCTCAATGTTCTAACTCAAGGCAAATTTTTTTTTAACATCTGAGTTTAAATTAAGTATTGTAGAGTCCAAATACTTATCCCTCCATAAAGACACTTTTAAGGCGGCTTCCCAAGTAGTCTCTCATCTTTCCAAATGCCAATTCATCCAACCGAACCAAAAAAACCAAACCCGCTGCCGTCGAGCCAGTTTCCACTCACAGTGACCCTGTAGGACAGAGCAGAACTTCCCCATAGGGTTCCCAAGACCATAAATCTTCACGGAAGCACACTGCCACATCCTTCTCCCGCGGAGCAGCTGGTGGGTTCAAACCACGGACCTTTTAGTTAGCAGCCGAGCACGCCTAACCACTGCACCACCAGGGCTCTTCCCCGATTCACCCTACGCATGGTTAACAAGTGGTATCAAGTTAAAATACCATCTTCACTATCTCTCCTTTGCACAACAACCTGTAACGATCCCTCACTGCCTGTGGGATCAAGCTCAAACCCTTTCTGATACCTGTGAAGGTCTCCAGAGGCCCAGACCTCATCCCCCAAACCTCTCTCTCTCCAAAGTGCATCCTCTACTTCTGATAGGCAAATCTGCGGGCCTTCTCCTCACGACACGCTATTCTTTTCACGACTATCCTTTTGAATGCTATGTCCCCAACCTGGAACACCCCAATCCAAATTTAGTTCACCTTAAAATTGACTTGATGGCAAGTAACAGCAACAACAAAGTCCAGCTCAGGTCTCACTCCCTTCTGGAAGCTGCCACACTGGCCTGCACTGACCCAGCTCCTCCTCCTCCAGCTCTGACCACAATCAGTCTGGCTTCTTGTAGTTCAGAACTGTGTTGGCTCACTATTGCTGAGGGTTACTGTGTTTTTCATGCAATTTCATACATATACCAAGAAAAATAAGCGCAATTATTTGAACAATATTTTTAAAATTCAGATTTCAAAATTAAAAAATTTTCAAATGTTTGAATTACTTCAGAATCAATCTTAAAAAAAATCATCATCCACCAGTAGATAAACAAAAAAATTAGAACAGAGGTCACTGACGTTTTCTTCACTCACACTACCCCCTCCCAACCAGTACACGGCTGAACTGATGAGCCTCCTGTAATGATCTGCTCCCACAGGCACACTCGGGGTGAGGCATAATTCCCAACACACTCAAGAGAGCATATTTTTAAAAAGTGAATCATTTTTAAACTTGAATACTTTCACTATTTTTCCTAACAAATTACTTGCCACTCATAACTAGTGGTTTTGTATCACAATACCAGTTGAGTAAGACCGATTTCAAAGACAAGCCAACCAGCTATTGCACGTTCATTATTACACTAATGACTAATACTCTGCAGAAACAAATACATTTGTACTTACATCAAGGATAGCTTTACTTTGGGTTTAAAATAGGGTGCGCTCTGGTCTGCCAAAAATACGATTAAGTCATTTCCTAAAAGAAGCGAATATATAACATTAGAAAAATGTTTCCCAGTAAGAAATCCAATCAGTGGTTATGAGAAGCTTTCAGGCAGTGTTCTCAACAAGGAAGCTTTTATTCTATCCAGTTTACCTGTTCTCTAAAGAATAATTCAACTTGTCTAATGGAATGGGGTCTCCAAACAGTATATCACAAATTCAAGGTTCAAAGCAACAAAGAAATAGGCAGCACGAGCACCCTAAAACTTGGTGGATCAAGAGAAACTGAAGTCAGTGGCTTCTGCCAGGAGTCAGATTGGATGTCTTAAAAGAACCACACAGGAACATGCCTTCTAGCTTTACTGGAAGTCTTATCTTCCCCAAATCTAACAACACAGCCCCTTTAAGGCTGTTTAGTTTGTCGCACACATGCATCACACCAAGGACACAAGAATTCCCACTGTAGGTATCTGACTAGAAGCAAGGACATGATTAAGCATGTATGCAGACAAAGCTGAACCCCCAAGGCCTTCCTCTTGTGGCTCCTATGGAACCATCCCACAGGATGAGGCATTCTCGGACCTCAGTGAGCACTCATTGGGACAGACTTTTCAAATTGTTTAACCGAAACACAGCTCGGCCATCATTAAACTTAAGAAAGTCTGTGTCTAGTTTGGATGAAATTCGGCATTGAGTCATACAAAAAGAAAACATCCAGTGTCCACAAGAGATTCTGGGGTCTTGACAAGGATCCCCAGAAGCCTGGGCCAGGAACCTGCCAGTCAGGATCTATGTCAGCTCTTCACTTACTTCCTCTGCGGCCTTGATCTTAACTAAGCAGCACCTACTTTTGTGGATACTCAACAACACTAGGACCCACTGTCAGCATTCAAATTTACAGAAAAGTTTGTTTAGTGCTATGTAACTATCATTAAAGAACTTCCAAGAACCATAACCTGGCAAAGAAAGCAGAGATGTGGGAGACGGCGGGGTGACACAGGTGAGGAAGGGGCAGGTGTACCCAAGACTAGGTAGCTCCGGAGGGAGAGCTCAGTTTGGGAATGCTTCCCCAGGAGAACTGGGGTTTATCAATAGTCCCTGCAAGAGGCCTGTGTGAGCTGTGGACGGTTTAGGGCCTTGGGAGGACAAAGTAGCTTCAGAGACAGCTGGGATTCGGATTACGGGAGCGGCAGGTGAGTTGGGGTGGGGGCAAGAAGTAGTCTCCCTTCAGAGACTAAAGTTGCATCTTTTCCTGTTCAGCAAAGCGGAAGGTGACTCGGGGTCAGTAAAGCAAAAGGGAAGAAGGGATCTTGGGAATGAGGAAGGGTTTTGCAAGGCAGGAAGAAGGGGGTGCGTGGGTGAAGGCCGCAGGCTTCTCAGGTAAAAAAAAACAAGACTGGGGCGTTGCCAGGGCTTCGGGGGTTGGAAAAGATGAAGAAAAGGGGCAAGCTGTCAGAGATGCTGGAGATAAGGGCAGGGAGGCAGGGCCGGGAGGGAAGGGGCCAGGAAATGCAGGAGGGCCGGCCATCGGGTCCAGGTATGTGGGGACACCAGAGCGGGGCACCGGGGCGGCGGGCAGAGGGAGGGCCGGGCAAGCACTGACTTTCCCGTAGCACGAAGAGGTCCGTCTGCTTGTCGGAGTTGAAGTCTCCGAAGGCCGCTACTGTGCCCCAGGCCTCAGCCCCAAAGAGCTCGGCCGTGACGTTGTGCAGCGCCCGCGCCGGGGCCGGCCCGACTACTAGCAGCGCGAGCCCCACAAGCAGCGGCGCCAGCGG